ATTATGATCCACGGCAAGGTCTTGGTTTTTCCTTTTCCTGTGTTGCCCTTGCCTGGATCTTTTGTTTTGTCCTTGGATCTGTTGAAGGGTTTCCCTTTCCCTTTTTGGTACCAAGGTTGCTTTCCTTTCTTACCCCAGTAGGATTGATCGGTGGTGGTCTCGTCGGCCATGTTGGTGATTGTGGTTTTCTGAAGGCTTGGAAGCGCCCTTGCCCTTGCCTTTCCTTCCTTTTCGCCCCCTGCCAGACTTAACATTCCGACGTGGGAATCTTCTGAGAGCAAAAACATCATGGTCCTCCAGCTGCCAAAAAGCTTCTTCATCGTCTAATGGACAAAAGCCCTCTGCGCCTTCTTCATCGTCTGCCCAGAATCCTGCTTCTCCTTCGTAATCTCCTTGTTCGAGGATAGTGTTGGATCTGCCTCCGCCGCTTGGACGGATATTTGGATTGTGAGAAACAATGAAAAGGTCATAACACTGGGCCTTGATGGTCTCATATGTATACTGAGGGAGCTGAATACCTCTAAGTGTCAATGAAGATACCAATCGCTCGTTGGCCTTCTGAAAGCTTTCTCTGTATAATGAAACCAATGCCAACAACATGTTGTCTGACAGTGGAAAAGTCTGTGAATGCCCTTGTTTCTTACCGTTCACAAACCTCTCAAAGTTGTCTGGTTGTGCTGCATCAAGGTAAGTCGGATCGGGCACTGTGGGTGTGCGGCTGCTTGTGGCAGACCCTGCATCATTCCGTCCGATTTGCGTCATTGATTGCCTGAATATACTCAGGACGAACCTGCTGATAAAGGTCACGAATTCAAAATTTCCGCGGTGATGAATGATTGAAGAGACTGACTAATCTATATAGGAAAACTTTCGAAGTGCCCTTCAGGTTCAAAGGAAATTGAGAAAATACTCCACGCCATTGTCCGGGTCTATGAGTTTCTCATTGTTCCAAAACGCGATTGCTGCATCCTCAACCAGACGGCTCTTGAGGAGCAGGCCTTGTCTTGCGGGCTGTATTGCCGTGAATGTCATCCAATCCCGAAACCAACCAACACGGCCGTCGCGGCAATTTGGCCTCTTCATGGGAACTCACGCCGTTGCGACGGCTTCCTAGGAAAGCCGCTGCGGGTGGTTCTGCTTCATAAAAGTCCTCTATTGACATCTTGCGTTCGGAGAACCAGGCCGCTACCACAATTGAGGTTGTAAATACGGGGGCCCAATATGGCTAGCGACACACCTCATAGGTTTTCCAGGAAGATCTACTCTCTCTGATGCAAGAGGAATGAGAAAGATGAGTGGCAGTCAGTAGCAACTGAAAAACTAGTTGATGATGACTTACCGCCGTTAGAACCGCTTGAAACAGAAGACGAAGCAGCTAAACGGATACAAGGGGCACAAAGAGTTTTGGTTAATAACAAGCGAAAGAAGAAAGAAGAGAGCAAACAAGGAACAACGCTGACATTTCACCCACAGTCCCACGAAGACACCCAAGAACACGCAAGGAACAAATTGACTATTAAATTGACATAGATCATTGGAAAGGAAGCGCAGTAAATGAAGAAGATATACTATTTCATTTTCAAATAAGAGGAGCAGGACTTACCGAAGAACAGGAAGAAAAATATAAAAAGAATAAGAAGAAGAGTTGCAAAGGCAAAGGTGAAACTGGTATAATTTATTTCGTTGGACTGGTGGAGAAACTCATAAACAGCGGAAAATGGACAACGAAAGCAAATGATGAACTGTTAAGAAAGGAAAGGGCAAAGGTAAAGCAACAAAAGACGTGAGTTCCTATCGAACCTCACGAAACTTCGTGATGATGTGTAGCACCGTTGGAGCGTACGCGAGAACTAATAACTTTCATAATCTATCACTAATTGTTTAAAGTATAACAACCTCAAGCACGAGTCAAGGAAACGCCCTACTTCTGATGAAACGCTTAAACAAGCAATGACAAGCAAACTAATAACAACAGTTATGTTGAAGAAATACAAGAAAGGTATGTTGTTGAATGGTTTTGATTTTGATGAAGTAGATTTCATGGTTTATAAAAGTAAAGAACGATATATGAATGCAGAAGTTATGCTGTCAGACAAGGCAACACAAACGCTTAACAAAGAAAACAAGGCAACGCAAACAGACCTACCATATGACAAAGCGACACAAACTTATCTCTCTCTCTCTCTCACACGCCTCGCCCGTCCGGACGCTTGGCGAATCATGGAGGCAGACCGCACCGGTCCGGCAGCTTTAAGCTGCAGTGCTCAGCTGGCACCCCCCTCTCCCACATGGGTATGTCTGCTCCGGCACGTGTACCCTAGCAAGCAGCTCAAATACAAAAGGCCCCTGCGTGAAACACTCATGAACAATATAAGTCGGCACTTGTTGCACACTTGCTGTGACCGCTGCGCAGGGCCGCCCCGTAGACACAAACTTATAGTTATGATGATAAGTCAAAGATTCGAGGCGGGTCTGAACAAGGCAGAAGCAGAAGCATCAGCGTTTACACATGACCCTGATGTATATGGCGATGACGATGACGATGATGACAAAAATGATGATAATAATGAAAATCCAGAAAGAAGCTGTGTATGATGATTAGGGTTCTAGAGTTTATGTTGAGGTCAGGTTTTAGTATAGGGCAAATAGTAGCACATTTAACATTATCACACTACATTGACTACAATTCAACTCATTAGTAACATCTTATGGTATAGCAAATGCCATGATGAATTGGTCGAATACAAATGTTGATGAGGAAGTTGTCTTAAACACTTCGCCCCCTATCAGCATCCATAGTTCTCCGCCTATCGCTGTTCATAGTTCTTCAACGCTTACTGTCAATTCCTCATCATCAGAAGAAACTACCAATTCTGACATAGCCCCGCCGACTGACATCCCTGCCCCTACTGATACTGAAAGTGAACATGACGAGAAGGATAAAGAAAAGGAAAAAGAAAATCTAAAATAACATAATATGATCCAAGACACGCAGAAACGATTTGGAATTAGAACTAATAAGCAATAATTAATTTAATCGTGCAAAGTGATTAATTAAATCAAGTAGTCTACAACACTCGGCATTTCCAGCCCGTAATCTTCAACATTGTGTTTTCTGGGTTTGCAAGTTTTCTGCTTTTTTGTTTTCTTCAGAGTCAGGCGACATTTCAGTGCCACTGTCTTTGATCATTTTGCCCAACCGTTTTCTACGCGCGGTGTTACTAGCGTTTTGTTGTCGCATTTTGCTTTACATGCTTCAGCGTCTCTGACTTTGTAATAATGGAGTCGGTTATAACACGCCAGCATTTTTTCATTTCTTCCAGAGTCAAGTCATCGGGATCTTTATCTGTGATCATTGCTTAGAAACATATGTAACATTTCTTTAAGTGAACTTTCCATTAATTCAAAACAAGCTGAATGTTGTTGTTGAATGAGCGTAGGGATGCACTGGAGCTGGGGTAAAGAATGAAGATGGGTATGAAGGGGCTTTGTGTTTCTTTGGGTTGGATTGGTTGGGTGATTCGTTTTGAAGGTTGAAAATGGGTTGTTTTAAGGCCAAAAAGTGTAGGGGGGTATAAGGGTGGATGGCAAAATGCGGACGGGAGAGGCCTAGTCGAACTGTTGGAGGGGGAGTCCCCCATGATGGTTGCAAAAGCGATGGTTCAAATAGGCAATTCAATCTCCGTACAAAATCTTGGCAGCAGCAGCCCCCCCCAATGATGTTCGAAGAAGCGATGATTCAAATAGAGGCGCCTTAGAATATACAAAGCAGCGCGGGCGGGCGGGGGGGTTGGCGGGGGCCCCCTATACTGTTCAAAGTGCATTCATACAAACATACATAGGTTACACACACGCGTGCACACATACATAAACATTTATATAAAGAACACTTTCCGGAGAGGAACTGGTGATGCTGAGGATGCGGGAAGCCGAAGCCAAAAACCAATGAAAGGGAAAAACTAAAAACCCGCCGGAGGAACTGGGAAAGCAGTGGATGCGAAAAGCCAAAGCCAAAAAAGCCACCAAAAGCCGCACAAACAAACAAAAGGATGCGCTGTTGAGCTTGCTGGTGCGTCTGACATGGCCCGTCCTTAGCAACATCGAGCTTGACGCTGAGATGGATTTCTGTCTTCCGAACCCTGAGTCACAGCTCGTCCAAGGGCATGACTCATCCACCTGAACCAAATAAATGAGCCAGAGCCGTGAAAATAACCACTGGCGGAGGTTCTGATCGTCGTAAATGGGTTGCTTCTGGAGGAGCGAGCCGATATAACAAGAACAAACTTGAATGATCTGCCTGTCGCTCGGCAAATATTTGAGAGCAGTGGCAGTTGGAATCCTTTCCAGGTAGTCACCAACGCAGGCCCAGTGAACGCGCTGTCTTCCGTCAGCGCAGAAGCCCGATCAGCCCAAAGAGAATCGCAAAAGAAGACACGGGCCAAATGCAGATGAAGGCTATTTGCTGAGGCATCACCACGCTTCGGTCATCGGTCATCATGATGAATGAAGTCCTCAGTCAGATCGAGATTGCCACATTCCATCATCTGGGCCCGTGAACACCAGCGTCAACCAGGGTCAGGGCGCCCAATCTCCACTGCCCACTCTTGATGACTTTGAGAGGCGTATCCTTGACTCCCGCCAATTGTTCTTTTCTCATTCGTGCGCAAACATCACTGCGACCGCAAGAACAAGTTCAATGAACATCTCTCGAAGGGTACTGATCCTCTTCAACCTGAATGTTTTGGGGCGCTGAGAAATGGCGAAGCCTTAGCCTTTTACTTTTCAAGAGTGATTTTAAAGGCGAAGGCAAACGCTGGCTTTTCTCACTTATGTATTTTGCGTTCTTGAAGCGCATGGATCCAGAATGGTTTTGCCTTAATGATGTCAGTTTGCTCAGTGTGGGTGAGAACAATGTATACTTGTCAGCGTTTTGTTGAGTGTCAAGCCCTAAAATGTTCCGTTGCAGTGTCGAGTGGAAGTGATGCCAAGAACACGTCCAGGTGGATGAAGGCCTCACCAAAGCCATTGCACACAGCAATGAGCTGGAGCAGCGCGCGTGCAGCCAAGACAAGTAGATCGGGCTCAGGTTCAGAACGTGGCAGGACGCCTGCGCTGTGTCGCAGCTGAGGCTCGACAGCTTCAGGCGCAGAGGGCCTGAGAGCCGTCCCGGCTCGCGGGCGCTAATCTTATTCCGTTCGCGGGGCGTGCTGCGTGCCCAAATCCTGCCAAGCATGCAGGCACACTTCCAACAAGCGCAAAAAGGCATGGGAGAAATCAGTCGGCTGCCTGGCTGCATATGGTGTTTTTTTCAACAACGGAATGGAAGCATTGAGTCAAAGATTGCGTTTGGAGTGAACAAGCTGGATCTCAGGTTGTGCGACCAGGCCATCAGCTGCCTGGCCCGCAGATGTGATTCTTTGCCAGTTTGAGTTTTGCAGGCAGACACTTCAGTCGTGCGCAGCCAGCCAGGAACACTGCAGCCTTTGCTCAGACTGTTAATTGTTGATTTCCTACGCGAGCCGAGGGCGCTTCTGAATCGCTCAGCCCATCGGATTCACGAGCTCAGCGAGCGGCTTCAACACCTTGTGCAGGCGTGCGCGAGAAAGCAACTGACAGGTGCGAGTTGCTTATGACTGTGAATGCCTGGCGCGGAGAAGCAAACCGCACTGTTGGATCGCACAGCGATGTGTCCTTTCAGTGTCTCATCGCAGCTGCCTCGAACGATCTCAAACACCTTTGTGGAGTCAGTTCTAACTCATTTGCGCGTTTATGTGAGGGCGCGTCAGGCTCATCAGCCTGCTGAAGGAGGTGCCTCCTTCCCATCCACATCAGGCGCTTGCTCCGCAATCCCTGGATGCTCGGCGTGTGTCATGCTGCTGAGGCGCTTTAGGCCGTGCTGATGGACGCACAGGTCCCAAGCTTTGACTGCAGCTTTGCTTGTCAATCTTGTCTTACGCTCCGTGCCACGGAGGGCCCCGGAGCAAAAGCAAGCCAAGCGCGGGTCCGAGAAGGCCAGACGCAAGATGGAATTGGCTTGTTTGCGCAGAACGCGGGCTTGTTGACGCCTGCAGGCCATCATCAAGCAGGCTGGGCGAAGAAGAGAATCTTTTTTTCAGACGCGCTGAAGCTATAAGGCCTGACTGTTTGGGGTTGACAGACATGATCGACGCTACTCCCTTTAGAAGTTTGGGCTTTGGAACATCTGGCCAGGGGCAGCGCGCGGTGAGTGCTTGATAGCCATCCTGCCGGCCTGTAAAAATATGTCGTGCGCAAGACACAGTAGCCGAGCATGACGTTCTTTAAATTGCGACTCAATTTGTGCCCAAGAACAGTAGCTTCTTACCCTTCTGGACTCCGGAAAGGAAACTAAGGTCCCTCAAGCCCGGCCGCCAACAAAACCCAACAAAGTTCCAAAAAGTCCAAACCCCGGTCTCAAGAGTGATGATTCCTTACTTGGGAAGATCAAACAGTTCAAACAAGTCAAACTCCCAGGTCCCAGGGGCGATGCCTCTTTACTTGGGGCTCAAAAAGTTCAAAAGTTTAAAATCCCGGACCTTCAAAGTGATGTTTCTTTACTTGGGGAGTTCAAACAGTTCGAAAAGTTCAAATGCCTTTTTTTAGCTGTTGGAGTGGTTCAGGGCCTGCCACTGGCCTGCTTGGTCGGGCTGCTGTTTTTGTGCAGTTGCTTTTTTCAGGGCCTGTCACTGGCCTGCTTGGCCTGCTGCTGTTCGTGACGCGACGAAGAGCTTCAAGTTTGCTTGTTGCGTGTGGCTGCTGTGTTTTTCTGCGCAGTTGGCTTTGTGCAGGGCCTGTCACTGTCCTGCTTGGTCGGCTTGATGCTTTTCGTGAAGAAGGACTTTTTGTTTGCTTGTTGTGTGTGGCTGCCGATTTTCCTCAGTTGGCTTCAGGCGGCCTGCTGCTTTCGTGAAGAAGGTTTTTCCATTGGGCTTCTAGTTTGCTTGTTGTGTGTGGCTGCCGTTTTCTCCTCAGTTGTTTTTTGTCAAGACCTGTCGCTGGCCTGCTTGGCCTCCTGCTTTTTCGTAAAATGGGTTCGCGCTCAAAGTGTTGGCCCTGTGCGTAAAAAGTTGTCTTCGATGCGACAGTAATACAGTAAAAAGTTCGTCAGGGAGAACATGACTTCTCACACGACGGGCCTCAACAGGAAGAGAAGCGGCACAGTCAAGTACATGGAAGTTCCCAACAGGAACGTCAGGGACATCATGGACAGACTGGAGTACTCGAACCCGTTCGAAAGCAGGCGAGTCCGATGAGGACGAGGCTGATCGTGGTCGTGAACCCGATCATGCCGAGGAGCCTGAAGCCAAACAATCGAGAGTCAAGGACATTGCCTCAAGACGAGCAGAACTGTTGCGGATGTTTGAGGACCTTTGCGATCGCGCGAACTCAAGATTTGCATTGAAGTGCGGGAAAGAATTCCAGGACGGGACATGCAAAGACCACGAGGGCAACTGAGTCTGACTCGGCACGCGGCAAGATCGCAATGCCCTCATCCGATGAAGACATCGAAATGGAGGTTCCTGATGATGATGAAGAGATGGCTCCGATGTCCAGCGAACCTCATGAGAAACCGCGTCAACCGGAAGCGGAGGAGCCGATCTTCTATCCGAGGGAGGAGTTCCACAAGTACAACTGCGTCGTGAACCTCTCCGAGATGGCTGATTTGGCAGAAGGAGGAGAACTCCGTTGGTCAACTTGACCTACACACGAATCCGAACGGAACCATGAAGGAGTACAACCACATGCTCGATTCGTTTGGTGGAGCAAGCCCCTCTGTGATTCCTCAACCCGGTGATGAGGCAGTTTGCGAAGGGATACAAGGATTACACTTGGAAGTCACGAACATGCAGAACAGAGACACAAGTTTTCCCTATTGGCCGTACAGTGAGTACACAGCGTTTGGATCTCACATTCACCACCAAGACTTGTTCTTTACATCAAAAGCACTGGTGAAGATCCTACGACATCAAATCGGCCAAAAGTGGGGGAACCCGAATCCTTGCAACGGCGGAGGATGGGTGAACATCGACCACATCCTGAGTCGTGAGGGCGCGTTCCCGCAGGATCGGTACAAGAAGAGCGACAAATTCCAAATCATCGCCGAGTGCATCAGATCGGAGGATCGGAAAGCACGAAAGCCGAGACTGCAAATCCTTGCTGCAAAGTTTGATCAGGAGATCGACATGGAGACGATGACGGGTCTCATAGCGGCTGGATGGTCGAAGAACGACATCGACTGGGGCATGGCGGATGGTGGCAACCATGGTGCATTCGAGCGTCGTCAGGGCATTCGGATTTCGGATTCGCTCGTCCTGCTGAACACATTGTTCCCGAACATGTCCGATCGCTTGGGCGGAGCATTTCACGTGACAAAGCCATCAGCCCTGGAAGGTATCATTTTGAGAGGTATCGTTCCTGGCGGCAATGACAGTGCGCGAGGTTGGCGGCACACTTCGGAGTATTTGCACCTTGGGGCAGCGAGAACATCTCGACTAAGACTGCAATGCACGATATTAAGGAGGGAGATGACCTCATCGCCATCTACGTGCCAACAAGGAAGTTGTCCGTGTACCAATCAGGGGTCACATGGTGGGACGATCGTCGCCTTCGAGACCATTCCCTTCAAAGAGACATGGGCAATCTGGAGATTCAAGTCCACGAAGAAAGGACCTGTGAAAGAGGTTCGGCGGATCTACTCCCGCGCCGTCAAGAGCGAGATCTGTCCAAAATTCAAGGACGCTGTGGGCGTGACCCCAGCGGACTTTCTTGGAAACCTCAACAGTTTCCTGGACGATGAAGACTCTGCGGATGCTGACATCCTGAAAAAGATGGTCGTCGATGCGTGACAAATCGTTGGTCGAGATCAGGGATTTGTTCAGCAGATTCATTGTCTACCACGAGGACGATCCATCAAGTATTTCCAACCAAGGGGATTTTGCTATTGCGCGGCATGCAAATGTGAGTTCATTTCCACCGGCAAGTTCGTGATCCGTGTGGATGACGACGAGCCCGAACCATCCGACACCACCAATGTGACGGAGGAAGTGAAACAAGCTCAGCGAGAAGCAAAGGAAGATGCTGTGCGATTCGTCGCCGAAGAAGAACGACCCGACGCCCGTGAGATGAGTGAGGAACGGTCTGCAAGCAGATCGTACATCCCGTCGGGTATCGGGACGGACATCGACGCCTGCAAGTCAAGGCCATCTGCGTTGACGAAGCCGGCGAGGCGTCATACCTCTCTGCATTCATTGGCATCGTGCTTTTTCAAAGTGTGGAAGGTATTTGCCAACAACGAGGCAGATGTGGTCAAGGAGCCTGGCAAAGGTGGCGGACTCTACTGTCCCTACATCGCGATCAACGGCGGGAGGGACGATTGGATATTCAAAGAAGTCGATGAACAGAACATTCCAATCCCGCCCACCTATGAAGAGGTCACTGCCGCTCCTACGTTTAGAAATGTGAGGTTCAAAAGCGCAAGCCATAATGGGCGAAGAAATGTTCTTTTGGTTCCTGAAGCTGAGAGGGCTGTACATCATGTACCGGATTTGGACCGCCTGCAATACACTTGGTATCAAAGCAGATCAGTTCAGAGGTGTCAGCCACAGAAGGACATTGCCTTCGTTAACGACACGATATTCTGATGCATCGCCCTTGGCCAAAATTGCGATTACATGACCTTCTACCGAACAGATGTGAACATTGGACGCGAGTTCTTGAAACTTGAGCTTGGCGCCATCATTTGCATTCAAAGCGTCAAAGAGGTCGACGCTCCTCTTATCCAATGGTGCTTTACTCGCAATATACATCTACCCTCGCGTTTTATCGAGAAGATCAATCGGACCGAGGAGACACCACATTCTCTGTTAGAAAGGTTCCGGCGCAGGGCGAGTAGAAAGGCCATCGCAGAATCATCACACTGGTGATCAAGCATTTTCTTTACGATTTCTTCCGCGTGGGAGATCAACTGGAATTTGCATTTTTACACAATGCATGGGATCGTGATACTCATCGTGCGTGGTATCATGGCCAGCCCTTGTGGTACTCGTCGTGCGCGGTACCCTGAACAAATCAACAGTATTTGCATGAGACTTGCATTTATCGCCACAGAATGTTTTCTTGTTTCCGTACAGTATCGTCATCGGCGACTACTATTCTGGAGATGCCAGGTATTTGGTGGTCAACGATTATTCGATGCTACAATTAACAAATTGGTGATGGACTATGTTAGTCATGGATATTCGTTTTCTGCAGACTGCTCTGGATCTGTACAATTACCTTATAGATAGCTTGCTGCATGTGCACCATTGCGCATGAGGTCCGGTAAGAGACCTGTAGCATTCTCATTTCATGTTAAGCTACAGAACCTGGTCAAACTCGTGCAGAGACGTTTCACTGAATTGAAAAAGAGAAGCCGTGCGTCCATGCGTGTCGGTGTGCGTTTGTGATTGGTTCCCGACCCAGGGATGAACCCAAGCCCGGGATGGGGGATGCTAAGAATCTCCGAGCCGCAGACTAAAACATCCGAAGGGCAGGTTCTGAGGTTCACGAGGCAAACGTCAACACACAGCAAGTGAAGCAAAGCAAAAGGGTTCGTATTCCGCCGTCGCATCAAGTCGTGAGACAGCGCAGATCATTCACCTTACAACCCCCTTTTACCACAACCACTACTATACGACTCAGTGTCGAGGGTATTGGTCACCCCACGGGAGTCGAACCCCAACTGCCTTGTCATTTGACTACGTGGTTGATTCGCCTCCTGGCAGCACGCGTGTCGCACGCATGTCGCACGCATGTGGCCTGTACGTGGCCTGTGCGTGACCCGGATGGCCCCCGCAGCGCAGGCGGCCTTGGAAGACTCCGATAGTGTGTGTCACGGGGTGACACAGTCCGTGGGCGACCTGTGTTCCAGAGTCCGTGCGCACAGACATAAAAATACACCCGCCGTGGAAAAACAGTATTGGCCCGGCAGTGGCCCGGCAGCGGGGAGGCAGCGGCGGCGGACTGCGGCAGCAGCAGCGGCTGCGGACTGCGGCAGCGGCAGCGGACTGCGGCGCGCGAGAGCGCGAACAGAGAACAGCGCACCTCTCTCTTTAGAGGGGACTCTCCAAACGGGCTTTGATGCAGCTGAGGGGGTTCTGACACTCGTCCGTCCAGGAAACAACCTCGTCCTGCAAAGAATCCGAGAGCTGAAGTGCTGCAGAAAGCCCC